TATATAAACTAGGTACTGTACATATAATTATATATTAATTATATATAAATTAGTTACTGTATATATAATTATATATTAACTTAATTTATTGTAACTTTATTATAATTATATATATACTTTCCGCCATCCAGCGCCACGCTACGGAGAGTTTAGGTGAGTAAGTTGAGTTTACTATCATCTGCACAGTATGTAAATTAGGTACCGTAAGTCTAATACAGCACTGTAATTTTATACATTTCTTGTGAAAGAAACATTTCTTATTCAACGGCCATAAAAATTATTTATATTAATGATGTCGCCAAAGTTCAACGAAGTTTTTGCAGAAAAATAACTTATCAGAAATTGCACCCGCCGTTTGGTGCGCTGCTCCGCGATGAAAGCAAGCTTAAGCAATGGCGACGTTGAACGGTGCATACTCGGTAAGTAATCCTATAATTTTTTGTTTATAGCATAGTTTATACAGATTATTCCCAAAAAAATATACGTATTTTGGAAATGTTGAGTCGAATTAGTCTAGGAATCGATTAATCTTATGGAAGAAAACCTTTCAAACAGCCGTAGTCCGTAAACTGCACACGTGCCAGGCTGTGATTGGCAAGGTCTCCTAAAACATCAATTTCATAAAAAACGGAACGTATCTACCATGTTATGGGGGAGGTCGACTGTACTCGATTAGTCCTTGTTTCAATTAGATTCTGAAGGAATTCAATCTTAAGTTTATCCCAAGCATCTGAAATTGCTGCCTTCAAATTATGAATTGCGGAAAACTGCTTTCCTTTGGCATAAACTGTATGAACCATCATCCCCCAAAGATTTTCCATCAGATTCAGGTCAGGGCTTCTAGCAGGCCATGGCATTAGATTAATATTTTTACATTTAAACCACATTTTTGTTGATTTAGAGGCATGCACAGGGGCATTGTCTTATTGAAAAATCCAATTTGGTCCAGCTTCCAATAAATGATCTTCAAGCATGCCTTGATACTTCTCTGAATTCATTCTTTGAGTTATAAATGCTAAATCTGTGATTCCATTGAATCCAAACACACCCCACACCATTATTGATTCCCCACCCATTTGGCGTTTTGAAAATATTTGTTTTTCGGTTCTTAAATCGTGCCAATAATACTTCCAATTGTCTGGACCATCTAAGTTGAATTTTTTTCATCACTGAACAAAACTTAATCCATTCTTTGGACCATGTCATGTGTTTTTGTGCCCAATCAAGTCTGTCACTTTTTGCTTTAATGAAAGTGATGGCATTACAGCTTTTTTTTCTGAATTTTAACATTGGTGATTTATTTAAAACTCTCCACACTGTTGTGCTGCTACAAGGCAAGTCTAATTCTTGTTTTATTTTTCTTACTGATGTTTGTTTTGTGGAGCAAACCTTGATGATTTGTCTACAATCTTGAGGTGTAAGCTTGGGTTTTGGACCTGTCTTGAATTTTGGTACATCCTTGCCATATCTTTTTGATAAATAATCACCAACAGTTGATTTTGGACGATTTATATATGCTGCAATTTCTCTCATTGACTTGCCTTGTGATTTATAGGCATCAATCTGCTCTTTTTCATAATCAGATAAATTCTTTGTTCTACCCATTTTAGAATTTTGAACAACATAATAAATTTGTATTACAATTAGATATGTAAGCTAATTTGCATATTTCAATGCTTGAAACTAAACAAAATTTTATTTAAATCATGAAATGAGTGCCTGTCCAGATAAATATGTAACAGTTTCATTGTACAAAATTTTCAAAAATATTATTTTCAGTGACAAAATGTTAATGTTTGATTAAAGTTCTTATTTTGCAGTGTGGAAACATGTAAATCCATGTTATTTGTAATAAAGCATTTGTCACTTAATGCAGCAAATTTGGGTTTCACTTTAATTTTTTTGTGTCTGTATAAATTTGAAACGCACCTTAGGCCTTCAGTTTAGGTTGGCAGTGAGGGGGGAGAGTGCTGCAATGCCACAGCACTAGCGGAAATTTGAATTTGCTGACTGGAACACTTTTGGTTAACCGATGTTTTGGTTGATCAGTATTTGAATAATCAATGCTCTACTATATTTATTTTTAAAAACTANGTTGGAGTAGAGAATATTGTAAGTTACTGCTAGCAAAACAATGCGAAATATGTAATTATTTTCGGTAATCCGGACACTTTTGGTAATCTGACACACCTTTGGTCTCATACCTGTCGGATTATCAAGGGACAACTGTACTGTGTTGTTTCTGAAGAGGATAGTTTAGATTATCCAAAATATCTGAATTAGTAAAATAAATGTTTATTACCAAGAACAGAGTTTTCCACTTTGAATCAATGTTTGTGGTGAACATCATCTTATTTTACAATTATTTTCAAAGCAAATATTGAATTATTCTTGATAGCATGAAACAGTTTAAGTATCAATACAATTATTAGATTCCCTTAATTCTTCCAAAGGTAAGTTATTCATAAAAACTTTTCTGTTTTACTTTCTTTTTTGATTTGAATACTCCATTGAATAAATTAATTTTAATCAAGGATTGAATTTTTTTTTATTTTATCAAATACACAACAGAAATATTTATTTTGAATATTGGAATTTATATGTTCATTATAATTTTTCAGATATTTAATTTTTAATCCATTTCACTTTTAATCAATAAAAGGATTACTTACATCAAACTGTAACATTTCTGGTTCTTGAAATTCATCCCAAAATCTAACTGGTATAACACGAACAGGTACATCATGAATTACCAAACGTGAATAAGAAGAAAGTGAAGGCTACAATAAATATATAGAATAGTTTCAATTATTTTAAATAGTCAAAAAGATTATTAACAGGTAAAATAGTTCTATTAATCAGATAATTAAACTATATAATTTGATATAAAGGTCTTTGTTATTTTTAGATCTTTGGTTAATTGAATATATCAGGCTACAATTTATGTAGTTGTATAAGCAGTTTTTCGATTTAGTTCTTTTTCAATGTGGTACAAGTTTTGTGAACTTATGAAAGTTACTTATGTGTATTGCTTCAAACAGATCATCCAATATTTATCAAATATCTGTTAAAACCCATTCAATAATAATAATCTTCAAGAAGAGTGTGTGACTTATACAGCATGTCTAAAAATAAACAGACTACCTTTAATATCTCAGATTCTGCTCAATTAGAGAGTTCATTGAGGTCTTGTTTTAAAGCTTTTCAGATTACTTATTTTCTAGTGCTATTGAGAATTCCAAAGCTTTTCAGAAATTTGATAAGAAATAAATAACATATATTTTCTCTCTCATTTTAAAGTATACCAATATAAATTTATATCATCAATAAAAAGACCTTTTCTATGGTATCAAAAATGATAACTGGAGATATCACACTTTAAAATAATTAAATAAATACTTAGTCTTAACACATTACAATCATCTAACAACTATTATTTTACTTCACAATTAACTTAACATGATTTTCAGAGATAGCATAAAGAAAAAACATGAATCAATTTTTTCTAGAAATACTTGTTGCATTGAAATTAGTGTTTCTGAAGAAATATTTTGCATATTTCATTTAGTGCTATTCTTAAGTTCAGCTATGAAACAAGCTGGATACATCACATTTTAAAAATAATTTCTCTCAATTTTTTCTGAGGTTAAATCTAGGGAGTTATTTATGATGTCCACTGTCAGCTGGAGATGATGCAAGTAATTGAGTATGGTTATATCTAACTTAATAGTTCTGGAAGCAAAGATTGGATAAAGATCCTGGTAGTGCAACTGGCAATACAACTGTACAGTATGCAGGAGATATGGATTCAAGTCCAGCTTCAGGCTGATTCTTTTCTTCCAGAATCTTCTAAATTAATTATTAAAATATTAATTTAATTATAATAAATTTAGCAAGAGATGGCACTTAATGTCTGCCTCTAGTGCCAAATTATTTAGCATTTAATTATTAATAGCAGTAGTAAGATAGCTCAATATAACTCAGCAATCATTTGGCTTCATATTGCATTATAGCTTTCTAATCTGATGAAGATTGCTATCACTCTAATAAGATCAGATACTGTACTGGAAGAATGATCATGCTTTACAAATGATGACTCATCAGTAAAAAATAATTTGATGTACAAAGTTTTCATCATTGGCTATTTTTCTTTTATTGTATTGCAGAATGCCAATTGGCATTGGAAATTTTCCAGAAAAAACTGATAAAAACAAATTTGGATTTTGTAAGGACAATATCTTTGTATTTTTTTAAATTCTACTCATAGACCTTCAGCTGGTGCCACTTTTGTCTGTTCTTCTTCTAAGAGACACTGAATGGTAAACATTGTTATGGACAGTTATATCAAAGGATTGATCCTGTGTAGTCATTGATTTCCTTCACCTAAATTTTTTACCATACACCACAGATCCTGTATGCATTAATCTTTTAACAAGTCTTTTGAAAGCACAAAAACTATTACTTTTTCTTATTAAAAACAGCAAATAAATTCTTGAAAGCTTGATTGTAATTTTCTGTAATTTTTTTTTATTTTAATGTGGAAAAATTCAACTTATCAATAACCCTGTGATCAACAGGTGAACAATTGAATTATGCTCATTTGAACAGGTGTTTAAGCAGCATTTGCATGTAATTTTCAACAGTAGATTTCATGCTTTAAAAGAAAAAAACAATTTATAGCAGATATGATAAATTCAAATTGCACTAAACATTAGTTTAAATATGTACTGAGTAATCTCATGTTGATAATATAACCTTTTTCACTTTTCATAAATTAATCTTTGTTTAAAGTAAACAGACATTTTTGTCCTTTTTCATGTATTAATTACCCAATTTGATTATCTACTAAACTTGTTAAAACTGAAAATCATGCTTAGAAATAATTATGAAATAAAATAACAGTTGTTTGGCAATGATAATGTGCTAAGACTAGACTATTTAATTATTTTAGTGTGATATCTCCAGTTATCTTCAACATAACGAAACATTTTTGGTACCATTGAAAAGGTCTTTTTCTTGGTATTATAAATTTATAGTGGTACTATTTAAAATAAGAGAAAATACTGTTTTTTATTTTTTTTACCAAATTTCTGAAAAATCTTGGAGTTCTCAATGGCACTAAGATAACTCACCTAAAAAAGCTTTAAAATAAGACTCCAACAAACTTTGAGTAAAACCAACTATTAAAGGTAGTTTGTTTATTCTTCGATATACTGTATCTGAAGTATATGTCTGAAAAGCAATAATTTGAAATACAGCTGTCCCTTGATAGTCCGATGTTTTGTAATCTGATATGCTCAGTAGTCTGACGCACCTCCCATCAAGGTACCCATCCCCGTTACGTGTCTGCTTGCACAGAAGCATGTCACGGCATGAATCTCCCCACCCAATTCTTACACGATGACACACATTTCATGTGTTTTCCATGAGCAGTTCTGTTCGAACAGTTGGAGTAGGGAATATTGTAGGCTACTGCTAGCAAAACAAAGCCAAATATGTAATCACTTTCGGTAATCCGGACACTTTTGGTAATCCAATACCCCTTTGGTCCCATACCTGTCGGATTATCAAGGGACAGCTGTACTGGAAAGAATAATCAATAATATGTTTGTTCAGCTTAGAGCTGTTCTGGAACAAGTCTTTTTTTCCATAAACACTTTAGCTAATTATTCAAAATTAATTTTTTAGACTTCTATGTAGATGGCTCTCCTAGTTTATAATGCCAAAATTTTCATATTAAATTATTTAATTTCTTAATTTTCTATTAACTCATTAATAGAAAATTATCACTGAATACAGTGGTACCTCAGGATACGAATGCCCCAGCATATGAAATTTTCAGGATACAACATGAAATTCGAATATATTTTTGCTTCACGATACAAACAAAAACTCACAATACGACGTTACATTAGTTTGCAGCGCCATTTTTTATTCACTTCTGTTCATTGCTCTCAGTCCGCATGTTGGCTTCGTCGTGGAAGGATCTTGCTTGATAAAGGAAATCTTGAGGTATTATCAGAAAGTGACTGATTTTATTGAAAAGAAACATCCCAAAAAGGTTTACACTAGCTGTATTGCTGCTCGGAGTAATGACATTTGCCTATGTCATTTTAGAAACATTTTAAAAAGTAGGCAAAGCCAAACCTCTTTGGATAGATATTTTACCANTGTGACCATTAGTTTTGTTACACCCTGTGTTTTGTTTTGTTTTTATAAACAATTAAAACTGAGAAAAGTTCATACAACATATGAAACTTACTAAGAGTTAGCTATCCCAGCATATTTTAAGCACAATCAACAAAACTTTTAACATCCAATAACCAAATTTTAACTTATAATGTAAAAATTGATTTTTACATTAAAATATTGTTACTGGATGTTAATAGTTTTATTGATTCTGCTTGGTAATTCAATCCAGTTATTAAGAAAGTAATTTTGTCCAATATATTTTGTTGTTATTCTCTTTAGAAGACAAATACCACTTCATACTTCCATAAGATACAAATATTTTTCAGATAGCTAAAAAATATTTGTAAACAGTACCCAGTTAACTTGTTTATAGTTCATGACACATCATTTTACATGAGATAATAATAAAATTACACTGAGATATATATTTCACAATTGGATATCATGACATTTATAGAGTTGTATTCTCACACTTTGGAAGTATTGGTCTGATAAGAGTGTTTAGTTGAACACACAATTCTACTTGCTAAAGTTGCAAGAATATGTAAGTGTGAGAATCAGAAATGGGTTATAAAATTTATTTGTGTTATTAATCAATCTGAAAAACAGCCCTAATCCAATCCATTTTTCGATCATGAATTATTATAAAAGCTCTTCTCTTCCAAATATTTATTTAATTAAAGTAATAAAATGTATATTGTTTTTTTACATATTTTCCCCATCAACACACAACTCATTTTGTCATTTTTATGTCAAAAAGGAAAATCGAACTTCCTTTCACAAAAGCTTATCTCTAATTTTAACAAGCATCTTGATGTCTAACTCATTAGTATGTCCCATCAGCTGATATAAATCTATAATTTCTATTGGAAAAGACTTACGCATTTTTTCATACTTTTCGGTTATCTGCCCTTTCAATTTTCCGACCAACCCCAGTCCCCAATTAGGTCGGATAATCGAGGCTCTACTGTATATTCTAATGGCAGAAAATCTAAAAATGGTCTAAAGTATTCATTTCTATTAAAATTATATCCTGATAATGTATAAATACTCTACACTTTATCATCATCATCATCATATCTTTGAATGTAAATGATGAAACTCTTAACAACATCAAAATAAAAATGTCACTATTTTAGATGGTATTTTAAATTCAATGTATATAAATATTAGGATTTCAAACTTATTATTCACTGAATTTATTAAAATATTATTTGTAAATTTTTTCATCCAATGGAGATTATTAATATTAATAAAAATGAAAACAAAGTCTGAAATAAATGGTGGTCCCTTTTGGGCAGACTTTGTCTTCAATTTTATTAATAAAATATTATTTCTATAAAAATATTAATCATTTTAAGTTATCAATATTAACAATTTTTTTCATAACTTACCAATTCATTTTCTAACGTAAGACAAGGAGCATGTTTTTTAGTTAACTTTATTTTTAAGGTTTTAGCAGATGATGAAGATTTTAATGCTTGTACTAAATTATCAGTTGATAATTCCAAATATATCTCATTGAACTCATCTGATACCCCAATCATATTATATTCATTAAAAAAATGATTCTGTAATATATAATAAATTTATATATTTATGCTAAATTTATTATTTATCAGAAATTAATAAATTCAAATATTAAATAGAATAAATCATTTCACACATTTTAGGATTAAAGACTTATAAAATGAAAACTAATAATGAAGTAAAACTTATGTAAATAAAAATTATTAATTTATTATTATTATTAGTAACTATTTTTATATAACACTCACCAAATAAACCATTTCTGATAAGAGAGAAGACTGCAGGAGAGTGTCAATATGCTAGGTGTATTTTAGTAGTCCTTGCAATCTCTCTATATATATTAGACAGTGTTTTGTTGTCTGTGATAACCCTTCTGTTTGTCTTGTGGCATATTCCTCTCCCTCCTATTTATGTATTGCTTTATGAGATGCTTGACCAAAGAGGACATGTATCCATGTTATCAGAAATGATAAAAACTGTATAGAAGATTCTAACTCTCCAGGGGTTTATGCGGTTCCTCTTCAAGATCACCGGGTTAACTATGCTGTAACATATATTGGAGCAACCGCAAGTGGTTGCGCCATGAGGATGAAAGAACATGAATACTCGATAAGAAAAAAGCTGACCACGACCACACTAGCAACATATGCGAATAATGAGGACGTTCATGTTGATCTACAAAACGCTAAATTGCTACACAAAGTATCGGATAAGGCATAACTCAAGTACCTCGAATTGCTGGAGTTATATAAGGCAATTAAAAAAGGGGTCGGTATTAATTTCAAAGAAACCAATACGCTTTCCGCAGCATGTCGCGCCATATTTGAATTAGATCCCAATGATTGAAACGCGCATCAAAGATATTTTAAATTACGGAGGTTATTTACGTCATGATCTATGTGAAATCAATTGATTATTTATTCGGATATGTTTTAAATATTTTACATATTTTCAATTTTAACGCAACATATTCGAATTACGAAGTTAAACGGAACTTTCAAAAGCATTCTATTCTACTAACTGTTAGTTCGATATCATCAATACCTGAGGATGTCTATTACATATAGATGAAAACGTTCATAGAAAAAATTTTTCTGTTTGGTTATGAACTGGTGATGGTTTATTTGGTGAGTGTTATATAATTAAGTACCCAGTTTTTTGAAATACAGTATAACTATTGTTGTAACTGCTGCTACTTTAAGGAACAACAATATTGTTTTATTCAATTTTTAAAAAAATATACACATAAAAGAATTAGGTAAAGTGGCAAGTAATTTGGCAATAGAACGTTTACAAACAACTTTAAATCAAGTAATTTTTCCATGAAAATTTAATTATAGGTTCAAGTGTGCCATGAGATAATGTTGAAAAACACTGGTATAGAGCAATGTGAAAAAAGTGTTATTATGCTCATTATCAGATTTCCTTTATTTTTCATTAAATAGAACAAATCTATTCTTTGTATTTGAATAATAAAATGGAACAGACAAAAATAGCCACTTCACAGATACCTAAGCAACAATTATTTTATTGATTGGTTTGCACTTTATTTCCTACCTACTAAAATACAGGGTAGATCAGAAAATAGTTACAAAGTCTATATTTCAAAATATCCTGCTTTCAGGGTTCCTACTCAAATTTCCATGACTTTTCTGATTTCCCGACCAACTTTGTACAAATTCCCTGACCCTCACATCCTTTACAGTATGGCACATTGACAAAATAAAACAGCATTTGACTTACTATGCACATATGTTTTGCTTCGCCAACATTTTAATTAATTATTTATTAATTATATTTATATAGCACTATACATAAGATAGTACAGTAGAGCATTGATTACCCAAAACAATTCAGGACTGTGGTTGTTCAGATAACAAAAGAATATATTAAACACAAAACTGTACTTTGTATAATTTGTATCACATGTCTTACAAATACATACCTTACATAATGTAGTACATTAAACTAAGGTGTGTTTCAAATTTATACAAACACAAAAAAATTAAAGTGAAACCCAAATTTGCTGCATTAAGTGACAAATGTTTTATTACAAATAACATGGATTTACATGTTTCCACACTGCAAAATAAGAACTTTAATCAAACATTAACTTTTTGTCACTGAAAATAATATTTTTAAAAATTTTGTACAAAAAACTGTTACATATTTATTCGGACAGGTTTCAAATTGCAAAGTTTTCTTACAATTTAATGGCCAGTGTAACCAGCATTTAACTTAATTACATTAAGTACAGTCGACCTCCCTATAACATGAGTTCCTATAGTTTGGATTCCTATATGATGGAGAAAAAATTGCAACGGTATCCGTACAAATATGGTAAAAAAAACTCCTATAATTCGGTAAAACGTCATCGGGCAGCCGAACTACTTTCTGCTGTCCAGCACCACGCTACGGAGAGTTTAGGCGGGTAAATTGAGTTTACTATTGTCTGTACAGTATTATATATAAATTAGGTACTGTATATATAATTATATATTAACTTAATTTATTGTAACTTTATTATAATTATATATATACTTTCCGCCATCCAGCGCCACGCTACGGAGAGTTTAGGTGAGTAAGTTGAGTTTACTATCATCTGCACAGTATGTAAATTAGAAGTAAGGTATTATTTCTATTAATGATGTTTCCAAAGTTAAACGAATTTTTCGCAGAAAAAATAACATATCAGAAATCGTAGCCGCTGTTTGGTGTGCTGCTCCACGATGAAAACAAGCTTAAGCAATGGCGACGTTGAACAATGCAGACTCGGTAAGTAATACTACAATTTTTTGTTTATAGCATAGTTTATACGGATTATTCCCAAAAAATTATACGTATTTTGAAAATATTGAGTCGAATTAGTCTAGAATCGATTAATTTTATGAAACCATAGTCCGTAACCTTCACATATGTCAGGCTGTGATTGGCTCATGTATTTAAGGATTCCTACAATGCAAAATTCTTATAAAGCGGAACATATCTACCACGTTATAGGGGGGTCTACTGTATTTAAACGATGTTCAATACAAAAATTGTTACATTTACAACATATAAATTATTTCAAATAAAGCTATAAATAAATTCATTATAATTATATCATATGGCATTGTAAAAGTTAGCCCAATGTTTTAACGTATAAATGATGTTCAATAAGGAAATTGTTTCCTTTACATTGCAGAAAAATAAATACATAATTACACATAAAAATTATCGTTGTGCTTTGTGGCATTGTAAATAATACTTCCATGATTGTTAAATCTGAATATAGTCGGGAGTTAATGCAACCTCCCTTCATAAATCTCAAGAGTGTCCAACAAACATAAGTCAAAGTGTCGGTCAAAGACCCTGTGTAAAAGAGTAACTTCATCTCAACATGGAGAAACCCCAGGTTCAGTAGCATACTGGGTATTATACTTCCCCTTGGACACATCATATTTGTGGTCTTGTATTCTAGCCTCAAGTGATCTGTACGTGGATCCAATGTTTATTGAGAAAGTAATTTCCAGTCTTCTTGCTAGAAATCAGAATTGTAACCAAGACAAGGAAATATTTATTGTGGCATCATCACAATACCAAACTGAAATTTTTTGTCATAATGCTCTCAATTTTATATTGTGTCTTGCCCCTGTACACAATACTTTTCCTGTTAACAATGAAATCATGCCAGCTGTCTATCTAATTTCATTCAGGAAAAAATTTTTGAACTGAAATAACGACTTCCAGTTTGGACCAAATTTCATATATAGTTAATTGGGACTTCCTGCCCCTAAGCTCTTCATATCTGGTCTCGGCTTTCATCTATATAACTCAGTTCTAGAGATTAAGGAAAGACAGACGGTTGGATGATAGTGAGAATTTATAGGTCTATAATATTTTCAAACTGTTGCCAAAGATAAAAAAGTGTTTGTGCTCCAAATATGTACACAAAGGTAGGTGTTTTATTTGTGGCCATGCACCAAAGATAAACTCCTAGNTTTTCTGTGAGGCATTATGCTTTTCTGTGAAAATGAACTAAAGCAGATCATCTTCTATCTATCTATATAAATAAAAATGTAATGTTCGTTTGTTCCTACCGACTCCTTTGAAATTTTCACACAACGCTGCATTCGAATACGCATGTCTTTTTATATAATATACGTGTCGAAATCCCCCCTACTGAAGGGAGATGGTTAGGATTAAAGCTTACTGTGAAAAACTTGGCTTCTATTATATTATTTTAGATGCGGGTTTTTTTATTGCATTTTTGATTGCATTTTAATAGGGTATATCAAGAGAATGTACACCAAGAAGAAATTTTTCAAAAAATCTCTCCCCCCGCGGGGGAAGTGTTATACATTTATAATAGATACATTTTGAGCCACAACAACGCGTGGCGGGGTCTGCTATTTTCATATAATTAAAATTAATATGTATTTATTTTTTAGAAAATACAAGGGAAGCGGCGCATCCACCACTTCCAATGATAGCTATTACACGCGGGCCGCAACATAACAATTATAATAAAAAACTTACTTAATTTCCCACTTACCCTAAAAATTTAGTGAGACTGTTGATATTGCGAACATTTTTTCACAATTTCATAAAAATTTTTTTTTAATACTCTTTCCACCCTGTGGGCACTAAGAGGGTCTCTTATAGCAGGCCCATTAGCAGGCACCATTATAGCAGGTCCCTTTTAGCAGGCACAATGGTGTGACTGGGTGGTGAGGGACGGGGCCCGACATATCTGAACAGACCACTCCCCGAAAAATTCCTGGGGGATTCCCTGACCTGACCAATTCAATCCAGAGCAGTAGGCTGCCACCTTGACCGCTCAGCCATCAATTCATTTAAATCAGGTTTGTAACTGCTGCATGCTACTCTTAAAACGGCATTCAGGTGTGAATCAGTAAGCCAGTTTCTATATATGTTCTTTGCATATTTCATTTTTGAGTATGACGTTTCACATAGATACATTGATGCAAACAACTTAAGTAAAATTTGAGCACATTTTTTACAGTCTTATATTGATGGGGCACTACTTTCCAGAAGTGGT